CCTGCTTTGTCTTCCTGCACTTCAGGGCTGCTCAGATTTGCACTGGGGGTAAAAATGTGCAAGACATGGATTAAACTGACCCTCCACTTGCTCCAGGGGGCAATGAGCTGATGGAATGCTCAAAGAGAGGATTTGCCTTCAAGAACCAGAGCAACTTCCCAAAGGTCCTTTGCAAGCTGAGTGATCAATAGGTAGTTTTCCACCAAGCTCAAGCACTTGCTGCCTTCTCCAGACCTCAAACCCCACGTGCAGTATCGGTCTGCTCAGCTTTGCCATTGGCAGGAGGTGGAATTCGGCTCTCTTGGGAAAACCACCATGGGGCTGCTCCAATGGGTCACATTCCCAGCGTGGGGGATGTGGGAAGGGGCCAGCCTCACTGAGGAATTGAGTTGATTTGCTTTTAAAAGGAGGACAGCACAGGACTGGGGTTGTTTGGGGGGGGCCAGGAATGATGCTGAAGGTGCTGAGGGGAGGCCAGGAAACACCCACTGCACCCCCCAGTACAGGGATGCATCAGAGCGCTGCTGAGCTCAGGGACACCAGCAGCTACTCCCCAAATCCCAAGGGGATTTTGGGGTCAAAACCCCCAGAAACTGAGCAGACCTGACTCCATCCTGGGATTTGGTGCTAGATGAAAGCCCGAGCTATAGAGCGACTGCATCTTTTAGAAAGCCCACATCTGCTGCATCCACTCAGTCAGAGCCTCTCAAGCACTCAGCTGCTCTGCTGATGGGCTTTTGATTCGTCTTTTTGTTTGAATTCCTCCTTAAAGCTCTGGTTTCCCTGAACACAAGGTGCAGCCTCTGCCTGGAGCACCCCATGGGTACCAGTTGTTGAAGGATGTGGAGGTGCAGTGGGTCCCTAAATACCTGGAAGAGCCGGGTAATCCCAGCAGGACACCCCAGGGACTGAAACCCACACAAGACATCACTAAAATAGGGGAGAAAAAACCTGCTGAGCCTCTGAGTGCTGGCTCCAGCTCCAGGCTGGGATGCAAAGGGAGCAATTTCCTTTCTCCTTCATTGTTCTGCGTTGATGTGAGTGAATCAGCTGCTTCAGAGCAGCTCTGAACACAATATAGTGATTACCCAAGCCAGCCCCACCTCCCTGCCTGGCTCTTCCCCAGCGAAGCTGGAATACTCAGAGCAAAGTCATGGATTTGAGCCGACGGGGTGTTTGATTGCAAAATAAGGGGGAAAGTCATTGTTCACCTGAAACATTTGCCATAGATCGAGGGGGTGTATACATTGAGTTGTAGGGGTGCGATGCAGTGCCTTAAATCATCCCCAACCTCCCCCTCCCTGGGCTTGATTAAATGCATCAAATGAGCCTAAAGTGGACCCAAACCTTTGCTTCTAAAGCGAAACATGTTGCATGGGAAAGGACAGGATATACTTCTCCTAAAGAAAATCCTTGTGCCCTTTGGTTTCCTGGCCAAAGGGGTTTGCTGAGCCTGCAGAGCGCTTTGATCTCAGCCTTCCTAAAGCCACAGCGCTAGGCAGACTTTGCTGAAGAGACAGAGGAGGAAGAACTGAACAAAGATCCCCCATTAAAAACCCATCAAAACCAGCGTTTCTCGACATTCAGCTGGAACCATTGTGCTCTTCCCACACAGGGTCAAGAAAGGAGGAGATGCCAGGGAAAGCACCCTATGGAATGCTGTAAAATCACTCCCTGCTCCCCAGACCACACGGATTCCCATCCACATCAGGAAGGTGACCTAAATAGTATGGAGATGATAAGAAATGCCACATTGGCTTTTCCCCTGACACTTCTTGTTCTCTCTGCCCAGGAGCACTCAGCAATTAGGAGCAGCAGCTCATTCTTGAGTGATATAATGAAGCACCATGTGGTGGGGGAAACTGCTGGTGAGCAGGAGCACTTTGCTCTCTGGATTAGCATGGCTTAGGCCAGGTTTGGGTGAGAGGGTGGTGGGAAAGAGAAGGGGCTGAGGATGTCTCCGTGCATCCTGCATGGAAATGCTCTTTGTGCATCTGCAACATCCCCAAAGTGTTTTTCCATCCACTTCCCACCATCCCATCATCTCCCAGCCACACACGGACCCTGTTTGATGGTCTCCTTAAGCAAAACATGCCCCAGGATGGGAGGTTGGGTTGTGCCCT